ACACGAGAAAATCAGGCTGGCTTCAGACCTGGTCGTGGCTGTATCGACCACATATTCACCATTCGTCAAGTTTTAGAGCACAGACATGCTTATCGGCGTCCGACAATGATAGTTTTTCTTGACTTAAAAGCAGCATTTGACTCTGTAGACCGAGAGGCTCTGTAGCAGTGTCTGCCATTGAAAGGTGTACCTCAGAAGTACATAAACATTGTGAAGGCTCTTTACTCGAACACTACCAGTCGAGTGAGAGCTTATGGCGAACTGTCATATGATTTTACAACCTCAAGTGGTGTCCGTCAAGGCTGTCCACTATCCCCATTTTTGTTTAACTTCATTATAGACGTGTTGCTCGAAATAACACTCTCGTCAACTGAATTTTCAGGAATCGATCTTCTACCAGGAGGTTCACTTATCGACCTAGAATACGCAGATGACATAGTCCTGATTGAAAAAATGCAGAGTCTTCTGTTAGAAATGAGTAATAATGCCAGGATGTTTGGGATGCGTTTCTCCGCATCTAAATGTAAGTTGTTACTCCAGGACTGGTTTGAGTCAACACCTGAACTAAGGATAGGGAGTGAATTGCTCGAACGCGTCGACAACTTCACTTATCTTGGAAGTCTGATCAGCCCTAATGGGTTGGTGTCTGACGAAATCTCAGCATGGATTCAAAAAGCTAGTTTGGCTTTTGCCAACTTACGTCACCTATGGCGAAGACGAGATATCCGTCTATCAATTAAGGGACGAGCATACTGCGCAGCAGTTAGTTCTGTTTTACTTTACGGCTGTGAAACATGGCCATTAAGAGTAGAAGATACTCGTAAGTTACTAGTATTTGACCACAGATGCCTTAGAAATATTGCTCATATCTGCTGGGAGCACCGAGTAAGTAATAGTGAGGTTAGACACAGGGTATTAGGAAATGATGGTAAATCAGTTGATGAGGTGATGAATCTTCATCGACTGAGATAGTTGGGCCACGTGTTACGTATGCCTGAACACCGACTACCACGATAAGCTAAGCTGACTAGTGTAGGGGATGGTTGGAAGAGAGTTAGGGGCGGCCAAACCAAAACGTAGCATCAGAGCTTGAAGTCACTAACTTCCAGTCTGAGCCATGTTGGCAGATGCAGACTACTTGGTTAGGGTCCGCGTGACTATCGTAACCAATGGTTGGAGACTCTAGGTGACATAGCTCAGAATCGATCACAATGGCGTAGGTGTACACACTCTTCATCTTCCCTTAACCCTTGAGATTAAAAGTGCTTCATATCTTTCTTTCTTCCTATACTATATCCTTATATACAACCTATCTTTTATATACTACCACCACTAAATTAACTATTTCTATGAATCCGGTGTTCATCTTGTTGTGCTAACGAGGTATGGCAACTTGGACCAATGCATATGAGTGCCTGGTCCTACGCTGTAGCTGACTGACTTACTGTGTGTTTACGTTTTAGGACCTGACGTAGAGTGAATATCTGGTCTATAAAAACATGTCCGGGTCGAAAATCAGCCTGGTTTTCTCTAGTCTGCTCTTCACGAGCTTTAGCTAGGTGCCAAAGTATTATTGAAGCCAATATTTTACACACTATATTAGTCAGACTGATTTCTCTGTGATTATTACAAGACGACTTTTATCCTTTCTTATAGACTGGCGCAATCAGTGATTGGGACCTGTCAGATGGAATTACGCCCAGTCCCCAGATTCTACCTAAGACCTCAGTCAGTCTCACTGCTAATACTGAACCGCTGTGCTTAAAAATCTCAGAGGTAAACCTGTCAGGGCCTGCTGCTCTCCCTCGCTTCAGATTTCCTATAGCTTTTTCAACTTCGTAAAGAGTTGGAGGACTTACATCAACTTATCATTCAGGTCGACTCGAGATTGTGGGAAGCCAAAGTGTGACTAAAGGTCTGTTGAACTGATCCCTGATGTGTTCTGCCCATCGATCCAATCTCATGGATCGAGAATGAATAATATGTCCATCTTTTCCTGAAATAGCTTCGCTGACAGTTGGGTTCCTAATACCGGTTTCCTTGACAAGTCTGAACAGTTGTCTGCTGTTGCCTTCTCCATCTCCCTTGCTTTCGCTACCCACTACTGTGTGCGATCATTGCGTAGGCTTCTTATCAGCCTGCGCTGATAAGAGCTGACTCAGCTCTTAGTCGTGTTCAGAGCCAGATGAGATGAGTTTTCAAGCATCTATCAGTGCGGTAAAAGCTGCTGTGATCCAGTATTTCTTTCTAACCTTATGGTTTACCTTACTAGCAGATATCACTGCTGTTTTCACAGCTTTTCGGATATCATTCCACGCTGCCTCGGGGTGAACACAACTTACATGGCTGCCTAACTGTTTTTCTAGTTGTTCCTGATATATATTCTTAGCTTGACTATCATTAAATAGAACCCTTAGAGGCTTCCTTGCAGCGTTATTCCTACGTCCAGTAAGACAGACAAATATGCGCTCGCACTACAGCATGATCTGAATATAAGCATGTGCCCCAGAACGAGCGAGTCTTTTATCGAGCCCCTCCATCGGTGGCTGATAGCGATTTGATCTAGTTGGGTTCAACGTTGGGACGAATTCGGGGGTGGCCATGACAAAAGATGTTTTTTCTTGCGCTCAAAGTTAGTATTTGCAAGAAACAGGCAGTTATCTGAGCATAGCTGCAACAGACGGCCGCCATTATCTGTTCTTTCAGCCACGACACCATAAGATCCACCCAGATGTCTTCCTTTTTCGCTTAATTGACCTAATTGAGTATCAAAGTCACCAGACACTACTACCACTACGACATCAGAGCGCCTAGCCTTTCGGAGAAGGTCAGAAAGCTTTCTGTAGAACTCATCTTTTACATCATCTGAGCTGCAGTCAGTGGGAGAGTATGTAGAGACGACGAATAGGCACCGACGAGTGTCCCTATTTTTCTGAGTCATTACTGCTCCATTTAGTCCGACAGAGCACAAATGACTCTCTACTGGAATCCAGTCTAAGTGAATCAGTTCTGCCCTAGGACTCAATGCTATACTTATACCAGCAAGGTCACGTGAAGCAGCATCAGGGCTTCCGGATACACGAAGCGGGAATCGATTTGGTCCTTTATTTTGACATGGTAAGGTCAAATGAATGACGCTACTCGGATCCTGTTTGCGCGTTTCGGAGAAGCAGCATACATCGATGGTGCGAGATTCTACAGTCCTAACTAAGGAAGCCTGTTGTCTTATTTGGCACAATGTTTGGACGTTAAAAGCTCCTACATGTAGTTTAGAGCGTGGTTTCAGGAGACCAGGAATAACGTTCAGTGTACTCGAATCGTTTGCATCAGCGGTACGAGGTGATAAAGGGACGTGAGAAGAGTTAGTCATGGAGATAAGAGAGTTATTAGGATGTGTAGGAAGGATTTGATTGTGAAAATTTGATTTCGTGTGGTGTTACGGGTGTGTGAGGTCTGATGTCAATTCACGGCTACCCACACCGTCAAGGGGTATTTCTTGAAGAACCTGGAAAGGAAGATGGATTAATGTTGATCTTAACGACCTGTGAGCGTGACTACAGAGCTCAAGGAACAACTGTTTGAGGCCGGTCGAGTACGGCCTTTTTGTGAGAGGTTTTTGACTTGTTAGCTTCGTTCTGCAAAGGGTCTTACCGCCGGAGGTGGAAATCCGTGGGGTTAGATGAGGTGTGACATTTTCATGGTCAACATTTTCTAACGCCTTCATTCCTTGTGAGGAGGTTACATCGCCACAGATGCTGGTTATCCGATAGAAACACTTTACTGTTGCCACATCCCTCAAAACACTCAACAGTAAGACTTCGCTCTCAGACCCTGAGTTGTTGCTTTTAGTCTTACCATTCTCCAATGGCATGGTAGAACCTACAGGAACATATGTTCCAGCCAATATAGCTCGGTTGGGTCATCTCGATAGGCAAGCCCGACGACCACGTCTAGGTAGCAACTGTGGTCAGGCATACTCGGAGGAATAAACCACCTAACATTCTCAAAATATTATTGTCGGTCCCTAAATCCAGTGATTCAAACAACTTGATTGGAATAAACAGTAGAACGCATACGTTGTTAACCGAATGAAACGGATGTTTGGAGTTAAATTCTCAAAGTTAATAAAGTCATTAGTCACCAGTGATGAGCAAGCTTTTCCTTATCTGCCATACGTACAATTCAAAAACATAAAAATTATGGTATTCTAATTAACTTCGCTAATATCCAGACTCAAAAATGGTATTATCAAAATTGGAATGAATCAAACCGATGTCAAACCAAATTTCAGGGAAAACAAGAACTTTACGAAGACACGATTATGTAACTCATGCCTTGAACCCCACAAGATTTAAAAAAACATATGTTACGAAACCAAGACAAACACATGTAAATGATAAGGAGCGACCAACGGTAAGAATACCGATGAATTCAATATGATGATCATTCAGTTTAGCATCTGCATAAATTTCGATAAATTCAGTTACTATTGTTGTGATCAGTGTGGAAGTAAAGCATACAAACGATCTTAATCAACTTTTTAGCCAACGATAGCAAAATGTTTGGTTATGAATTGATTTATAATTTTTTTTAAAGTAATACGATTATAATAGATTTAACAAGAATAATAAGTATCTATATATGAATCACTAAGATTTTTATCCCCAACTGATATCAACCATAATCCAAGAATAAATTGCGCTAAGTTAATATTTAAATGCAACTAGTAATCACTGAAAAGGAAATCTATACATCAAGGGTAGCATTCTTCTCTCAAATGTATTTTACGAAAGTTGCAGGAAAAACTTTGTATTGGTGAAAGTTTAGAGACAGAGTCAAGAATTATAGACACATAGTGTCGTTGGGTCAACTCAATCCGGTCAATTTGTATCCACTGAGTTAACCTTTTTCATGACTATTGTGTCGATATTTCGGAATTGCCTAGAGAGTTTACAACAATAAAACACATCACCAAGTGGTAAGAAACAAATTAAACTTACAAGGTACAAGAAACAGATAAATTGGTAAGCTGAGAAGTGCAATTATTAATCCTGGAACAACAAATGACCATCCCCAAGCTATTTCTACAAAGGCACCAGCAACTAAGGAGCCCAAAATGTTCCCAATGCTAGAATGCGCTGTCCAAACTCCCATAAAAAATCCTCTCCTGAAAATTAAGGTAAAATAAATATGATTCCATTTGGTTTGTAATCTGTCGGGGTGTAGGTATAAATTACGAAAGACATCGTTCTCATTTTGATGGAGCATTTTGATCTAGCAACAAATAATCAACTGTTAATAGGGATCCAGTCTATTAGTGCTGCATCTTCTCTGGAGCTTAGTGTGACACAAAGACCAGAAAAGCAGGACGAAGATCCCACAGAGTTTCCAGAAAAACGCATACAAAACATGTCTTTTGATTTAATAGATGGAAATCAAATATTTAGTATTTCACTAGATTCTTGAATAGAGGTTCCTGATAGACAACCGACGTCAGTGTTCAGATTTTATAAAGACACAGTCAATCCGACAGGCGTTATTGTGGAAAACTAGTCTGAAAGGTACACATGGTTTGAGAAAGAATGGTTCAGAATTTGTACTCAGTGGTAACATTCAACTTCTGACCGCTCAGTGACTTGAGATCATTTAGACAAGACAGAATTTTCACCGTAAGTGAGCTTCTGTGTGAGTTGGAATATAAAAGTGAACACAGAATGGGAATAGTAAGGGATAGAAGGAAAAGGGAGCATACAATGATTTTGTATGTCATAAAGTACTTGCGATAGTTGTTTAAGTAGGTGGAGAAAGCCACCGCAGATAGAATGCAGTGAGTAGAAATTTCCTGGTAGTGGCTTTATACGCGTGGTTATATGAGAGCATTTTGAGAGGGAGAGTGAACTATCCACTCTTGGCCGTACCTGGGGATTTGGGGGCCAACATCAATCCAGTATCTAGTCTAATGGTAGCATAATCTCGGTCACCGGTCTCCTTGTCGTACAGTAGAAATGTATCGTAGAGGCGAGGAAATATTTCTATTTGACCGTTATATTATTCTGTGTTCAGAAGAACCAGACATCATTCAAACTCTTTACAACCTGAACAGCACAGCTCAATCCTGTGGCGCAATCACACAGGTAACAAGAATCTTGGTGGACTGATTAGAAAAGTATATGAATTTTCTAAATATAGAAACGTAGACATCAAGACATAATGTTAGGACATTTTTGTGATGCAGAACTATACAAACTTTGGGAATGTACAGAGGAAAAAAGTGATAATATATATTAATAATTAAGAAGTTTCATACTAATTGGAAAAGCTACTTACTTATTTTTACCAAACCAATTCCCCATACAAGCTACAACTGCTGGCCAACCGGATGCCTGAACTATTCCAGAAACACCCTAAAAAAATATCAGCGTACAATATTGCGAAGATTGGAAAACATTATGTTGTTCATAATTAGGAAATTATCGTTTTTTCAATAATAAGTGGTGAATGTTATAGAGATAAGAATTCACACTTTTCAAAGCGACTTAAAATTAGTCTCCAAAAGAGATGAAAATTGAAAAAGATTAATCAAATGATACATTGATGTCAGAAACAAGTTATTAGTCTTATATTAGTTCTCATATAAATATGTGCCAACAATAGTGAATTATTGTAAAATTTTGAATTTAATAAGAGTATTCCAGCATGGCCATGAGCCCTTTTACATGGAGTTATTGATAAATTTAATGGTGTTAGAGTTTGGTTTCTGTTATGATGGATAGAAAATTGACATATTTGAATTATCGGATATTCAATGAACTTCGGATATCTGGACCCGGCAATTAGTTATATATATATATATATATATATATATATATCAAAAGACTTACTTAAAATGTAGTACTAAGTAGTGTGCATCATATTTTAATAAGCAAAAGGGGTGAATTATAAGGTTTAAAAACCAGAAAAATGCATTGTGAACATTAGACTGTAAAATCACACCATGGCACTCAGTGATTGAACATACTAAAGAGGAATCTCTTTACTCATGCCATTTATGGAGTGTGAATTTGGTAGTGTGAAAGCATTAAGCCCAACACTAATTCACTGGAAATTAATGATCTACAAATTCGAAATCCTCTAATCGCTTATAATATCTAATTATGTTGCTTTCGTGTTCATATTCTGTATATAGGTATGTCATATTACTGAATGGAAACCCAGTTTATCTCATTGGTAACCTTGCCCTTGAAACCAGTTTATACAGAGATTCAGACAGATAATCCAGTCTCATGAGGAACTGATTCGCAGACACATAGTATCACTAGATTCCATATATCTGTGTGCGTTACATTCATTTTAACAATTCCGGACACGTCCATCGTCACCACATAGCAAACCGAAGCAAGTGAAAATTAAGAATAAGAACAATTTGCGGGCAAGTATTTTTCTGACATTTTATCACCCACATATTTAAGATTGTTATTCCCTAATGAGGAATGGTCTACTAACGAAGGATCATCAAGCGAATCTGTCCTGAGATCCTTTTTTCAACTATTGCCAAGTGCGATCGATGATCTTGATGTTCGACTCCAATTGTCGATGCCATACATTTCACGGTCTATCTCTTACCTTTTGTCTTCAAGTTTACCGATTAGGACTTGCTTTTTAACACACCTTGATGGTTTCCGTAAACTGTATCCAATCCACTTCCATCAACTTTTCTCGATTTCCTTCTCACCCAGTAGTTCATTTGTTATCTAGTCTCTAACTAACCGATCTACAATATTTTGAGCAGACGACTGTTTATAAATACCTATACCCTACTTGAGAAGGCTGTGGTAGTTCTCTCATTTTCGGCTCAGTACAGTAGAACTGTTTTGACGTTTGACATGTTTGAAATTCTGACTTTGATCATGCGTGATAGTGCTTTAGGGTTTCAGATACTCTTCAACTTCAAGAAACTTTCCCTCACTTTGACAATCCGTGTCTTCACATCTGCATCAGATTCTCCCTGTTTACCTATGATGGTGCCTAGTTAAATGAGGCCCCTGCGTGCCCCAGAGCTTCGTCATCACGTGTGACTTTGGTGGTGCTCGTTATGCTGTGCCTCAGAATCTTGCTTTTCCCCTTGTGAATGTTGAGACTTACATCTGCGGAGGCCGCTGCTACACTGGGTGTCTTCACTTGCATTTATTGCTGTGTGCGATAGGACGACTAAGACGCTTGCAAAGCCCGGGTAATCCAGCTGTGCTCAAGATGTCCACCATATTTCGTGCTCCTCATGAGCTTTAGAGGTCCTCGTAATCCAGTCAATAGCCAGCAGGAAGAGAAGAGATGAGACAAGGCAGCCTTATCTGACACCTATCTTCACTCGCAATTTACCTCCTTGTAGGAGTTTGATATGATACTAACAATCTTTTCAGCCACTTCATAATGTTGAAGATCCTGCAGGGTTTTGTGGTCCATGATGATAAATGGTTTCTTATAATTAAGGGAATTGATGTACAGTGATAAGTTCCATTCAATTGATGGTTCAACAATGATCTTTAGTGTAGCGACTTGTTCCGTACATGATCGGCCTATTTTGAAGCCAGCTTAGTGGTCTCGGAGTTGGGTATCTTCTGAATTTCCCGTTAGGTTGAGCAGGATTGTCGAAAACTTTGTCTGTTACTGACAGTAGCGTGGTTCCCCTGTGTTTCTCGCACTTACTACGGTCTATTTTCTTCGGTACCATTCGTAACAATTTGATGGCATGTTCTATTCTTCTCACATCTCTGACCACTCTCGTCCCTTTCTTTCAATCCATGGAGCCCCATGATGTGTACATACATAATGCTGTCCATCCCAGCTTTGGCATTAAGATTCTTCGTGAAAATGATCAGGTCTTTTCATGGGTATCTCTTTAGGACAAACTGCAGATTCCCATTGTCTGGTTTTAGTCGTCCACACTGCCATCATCAATAAATGACATTTATTTTAATGTCTGCCTTCTTTGTTTTCAAGGATGCCCTATGACCCTAGAAGCATAGGTTTCACATATCATAAACGCTTCTTGTGCCTCATTGAGCAGTGCAACTGATGAAAAACATTTCCTCCACAACCGGAATACAGTAAACATTCTCCTGAATTCAGTTTTTCTGTCCAAACTGTGTTCAACAGGTCTCACGTGTTTTAAGCACGACCAGGTCATGTCTTTTCATTTCTGTGGCTATTTGAATGACTCTCTCGGTCTCCCACATTATCTAAACATTCCATGTACCTACATCTATGTTGCGCTGATTGTCGGGAGGCAGCTCGGTCTAAGGGCTTTTGAAGAATCCAGACTTTCACAGTGAGACGCCATAACTCTTCTATGAGAGGATCCTTCAACTCCCAAGACAGTTTTTAAACAAAATAAGCAGTTGTTCCTTGGGCTATTTCGTCACGTACCCAGGTTTTCATGTCCTTTAATACAGTTTTCTTTTCAGGTACCCCAAGAAAAAAGGTATCCTTACATGGTGTGGCCCACGTGAATTCTTTGTGTCCCCAGCATACACTATCAGAACAACATGCCGATTTACATTTCTGACTCACCGGTGACAGGACCACAACCTACTACAAATATGAAGTCACAATATGTATATAACTAGGTTATTTGCAGTACAAAAATGTATAGCAACCACGTAATTAATTGACCGTATACTATGAACAACGATAAAAGAGATATCTGCGAGAGAATTACGTGAAACCTTATAATTAGAGCATTATATAGAAATCTTGGACAACATATTCAATGCATACCCAGTAAAATGTATATAATAATCCACGGTAGCATAATCTACAAAGTTACTAGTATTTGACCACAGATGCCTTAGAAATATTGCTCATATCTGCTGGGAGCACCGAGTAAGTAATAGTGAGGTTAGACACAGGGTATTAGGAAATGATGGTAAATCAGTTGATGAGGTGATGAATCTTCATCGACTGAGATAGTTGGGCCACGTGTTACGTATGCCTGAACACCGACTACCACGATAAGCTAAGCTGACTAGTGTAGGGGATGGTTGGAAGAGAGTTAGGGGCGGCCAAACCAAAACGTAGCATCAGAGCTTGAAGTCACTAACTTCCAGTCTGAGCCATGTTGGCAGATGCAGACTACTTGGTTAGGGTCCGCGTGACTATCATAACCAATGGTTGGAGACTCTAGGTGACATAGCTCAGAATCGATCACAATGGCGTAGGTGTACACACTCTTCATCTTCCCTTAAACCTTGAGATTAAAAGTGCTTCATATCTTTCTTTCTTCCTATACTATATCCTTATGCCCCCGAATGCCCTGGTACGGCCGAGAGTGGGGAGAGTCTACTCTCCCTCTCGAAATGCTTTCACATGGCCAGCGAATATATAGCCTCTGACAGGGAAGTCCTACTCACTGCCTTCTCTTGGCATTACTGTTGTTTACGAAATTGAGAGGACGAAAAGCGAATGTCCGGTGCTTTAACCGGGTTGGTGGACATGGAGGGTCCACCTAGGGGAAAACCCTGATTCCAAACCAATGGTGCACATGGGCTCCAGTATCCTGATGGAACGAATGGCGGACGAACCTGTCATTGGTCAACGGCTACCATGGGACTGCATCTCTTCACGATGCTCCACTGCCTTGTGGATCAGACCTTTTGGTCAAAGGCTCGGGGTGTGGCCCCCTAAGAAAACCACCTGCTTCGGTTTGGGCACCCGGGCAGTATCACAGCCCACACACAAATAAATGAAATGATGAACTCTATTGACGATACTATCCCTGCTGATACTAGAAGCAAGACAATTTACATTATTATTATTATTACCTTTATTATTATTATTATTATTATTATTATTATTATTATTATTATTATTATTATTATTATTATTATTATTTACCATATCGCTAACTCACCCCCTTTTATCCCCAATTTGTGTATCCTTACTTTTCAATTTATGCAGCAGCTCGCCCATGGTGGAAAATCTGTCCTATTTAAACGATCTCCAGTCACTGTCTGGTTAAAAGTGAATGCTTCCACCGATTATGAATACTGAAGCAGTTTTTTTCTGAAACCACGTACGCCGTTCAAGCTGGCTTCCTTCAACGTTCGCACACTAATGCATATCGGACAACAGATAGGGCTGGCTATGTCTTTGGAAGGTCTTAATGTTGATGTTTGTTGTCTATCCGAGACCCGTATTCAAGACTCTAGTGAAGTACTACAAATCCGCTCTCCATCTGTCGCCTCGAAAAGCTTGTTCCACGTGCGCTTATCCGGGGACCCTGTGGCATCTTCGTCTGGTCTTGCAGGCGTTGGTGTCGCACTAAGCGCTAGGGCTGAGGCAGCACTAATCGATTGGATCCCCATTAACAGTCGGTTATGTGCTGTTAGATTAGAAAGTTCCATCAAAGTGAGAAGAAACCGGCGTGAGAAACGGTGTCTTTTCGTCATCTCCGCCTATGCTCCGACAGATTGCAGCCCGGATGCAATCAAGGATGAGTTTTACCATCAGTTAACAGTTCTTCTCCAGAAAGCGCGTTCGACAGATATTGTAGTATTAGCTGGAGACTTGAATTTTCAGGTCGAGCGTCTAGGCACAGAAGAGAGTCGTCTAGGTGGCCGATGGGGACTTGTTGGTCGCAGGACAGATAACGGGGACCGTTTGCTGCAACTGTGCACAGACCACAACCTGTTTCTGGCCAGCACTAACTTCCGGCACAGTCATCGCCAGTGTGCCACCTGGCGTCCTCCCTCTGCATCTTTAGCCTGGACTCAGATTGATCACATCGCGATCAGCTACCGCTGACGTGGTTGTGTACAAGACTGCCGCTCCTTTTGGAGTACCTAACTGGAGTCTGATCATGCACTGGTCTGCGCCAATCTCACCTTACTTTTCAGTGGCCGAAGGATTGACCACCACCAACGGATCGATGTTAGTAAACTGGCTGCAACATCTGTTGCAAGTAAGTATCGAGCGGAGCTAGCTTCTAGGCTAGCTACCATCCCACCGAAAAGTATAGATGAGCATTGGTTGCATCTTCACGGTGCCATGAAAATGGCGAGTAAAGCCGCTTGCGGCTTCGCGAAACGTCCCGCTTATAAGCACTGGGTTTCTTCTGGCTCCTTACAACTGATGGAAGACCGTCGGTTTATTCCGGGTGACCGTGAGTTTGACCACAAACGAAGGCTATTACGTAATGAAATTGGGCAAAGCTTGCGTAAGGACCGAGAAGCCTGGTGGTCGGAGCGTGCTAATGAGATGGAAGCAGCAGCTGCATCTGGTAACTGCCGGAAGCTCTTCCAACTCATCCGAGCCACTGGCAGCAAGAAGTCTGGTGTGAGTGAAACAATCTACGAGGATGATGGGATGCCAATCACTAACATCTCCCGACGTCTTGGACGATGGACGGAATTCTTAGAACGGCAGTTCAACTGGCCTGCTGCTCCAGCTTCTCCTGCCCCCCGTGGCCGGTGACGACTGATCCACCAAACGAGGCGGAAGTCCGCAAGGAACTCCAAATCTTGAAACGTTACAAATCACCGGGCCCAGATGACTTACCTCCAGCTCTTTTTAAAGATGGTGGTGACCTTCTGACTAAGGAATTGACTGTGTTGTTTGCAAAGGTTTGGGAGCAAGAAAGTGTTCCAACATCATGGAATGAGTCGATAGTCGTCCCTATCTTTAAAAAGGGTTCACGTTGTTCCTGCAATAACTATCGGGGGATAAGTCTACTTTCGATTGCGTCCAAACTATTGGCTTCTGTCATTCTTCGTAGGTTGTTTAAAACCCGAGAACGATTGACTCGCGAGGAGCAGGCTGGTTTTCGTTCTGGTCGAGGATGCATTGATCACATCTTCACCCTCCGCCAAATGTTAGAACACCGTCATACTTATCGCAGGCCAACAATCGTAGTGTTTCTTGACATCAGGGCGGCCTTCGATTCGTTGGACAGGACTGTTCTCTGGGATTGTCTATTGAAGAAGGGTGTGCCTGAGAAGTTCATTAACATCTTAAAGGCCCTGTATACGAACACCTCGGGCAGAGTGAGGGCATACAACCACCTTTCTCCCTTGTTCCATTCGAGCAGTGGGGTTAGGCAGGGTTGCCCGATCTCACCATTCCTCTTCAACTTTGCCATCGACGACATCCTAGAAACAGCTCTGGTGGATGTAAGTAATGGCGGTGTGGATATGTTGCCTGGAGAACGACTTCTCGACCTTGAGTATGCGGATGATATTGTCTTACTGTGCGATAATGCCCAAGGCATGCAATCAGCACTTAATCAGTTGGCAATCAGTGTCCGCAGGTACGGCATGTGCTTTGCACCCTCCAAGTGCAAAGTACTTCTACAAGACTGGCAGGATTCTCATCCTGTACTCACCCTGGATGGTGAGCAGATCGAAGTAGTTGAGAAGTTCGTGTATCTAGGTAGCTATATAAGTGCTGGTGGTGGCGTGAGTGATGAGATTGATGCACGTATAATGAAAGCCAGAGCGGCTTATGCCAATCTGGGCCATCTTTGGCGCCTTCGTGATGTTAGTCTGGCTGTAAAAGGTCGGATCTACAACGCGTCGGTGAGAGCAGTTTTGCTCTATGCTTGTGAAATCTGGCCTCTCCGAGTTGAGGATGTTAGACGACTCTGTGTTCGATCATCGTTGTCTCCGAAGGATTGCTGACATCCAGTGGCAACACCATGTTAGTAATGCAGAGGTTCGGCATCGTGTGTTCGAGCGCAGGGATGATAATTCAATTGGTGTCACCATCTTGAAACACCGACTTCGGTGGCTTGGACATGTTTTACGAATGTCGTCCCAGAGACTTCCACGTCGTGCATTATTTGCCGACCCTGGGACTGGTTGGAAAAAGCGGAGAGGAGGTCAGTGTATGACATGGTGTCGTGGCATGAAAGAAAGCTGCAAAGGGCTAGCTTCTGTTGGTCCTTCGCGACTCCCTGGCTGGGGTCCGAGAGATGGTGCAACACAGTGGCTAGAGACGTTATCAGATATCGCTCAGAATAGAAGCCAGTGGCGATCCTACTGCAACCTTCTTTTACTTTCTACATGAAGAATGGTTCTAACTTTCCTAACTGAAAGAGTCTTCTGGTTGTACATTTCAGTTCGCCTTATCTTTTCATCCCTTCTCTTGCTACTTTCATTATTTTGTGTGGCGCATATGTATCTGGTGCACTTTTGTACCAATATATATGTGTTTAAATAAATAAATAATAAATAAACTATATTCTTATATACAACCTATCTTTTATATACTACCACCACTAAATTAACTATTTCTATGAATCCGGTGTTCATCTTGTTGTGCTAACGAGGTATGGCAACTTGGACCGATGCATATGTGTGCCTGGTCCTACGTTGTAGCTGACTGAATCTACAAAGTTCCACCTATTCACTCTTATCTAAAATAACCTTTGCAGTTTTTGTACTTTATCCTCTTTTTTCTACAACAAGCTTTCACTTTATCTCTTTCAGGGTGTTATTGAATACTTATTGACTTTATTCTTCTCTAAGCTAGTTTGATATACTTTCCTATTTTGGTTACCTATGTCGTGTTTTCCAATCAGCCATGCCACATCAGTACATTGAGATGAAATCGACAAGATGAACAACAATGGAGTTGAAATAATAGTAGCATTACTGATAGTAAGCAAAAACATATACAAACAATACTGTTTGAAAATGAGCAAACATGAAGCAAACAATTCAGTCAATCCATGCGAATGAATTCATAGACAAACATATTCACTCTCACTTATTGGTTGATTATTTTTCTAAACAATATAATAATACAAAAACGCATCACAAAGCGATTAGGTGGATTGATTTACGTGTTAATTCACTTTCTGCCTACTTCAAAATCTACCAAGTAATTCTAACAGGCAATAGTGAGTAGACAAATATCTAAACGTATATGATACTACATGATGATTACTAAGTCAATACAAGTTCACAATGCAAGATTACCCCCACTGTAAATATACTAAGGAAATTAATACGACAACCTCATGACAGAAAACTTTTTCTACACATGTTATTAATGTCTGCTTACCTGACAAACTGCATAGTAAGCAAATGAGTGAACATTGAAAAAGTACCCAAGACCAAAGGCTATTGTTGTTATACCAGAAAGAAGAGTACCAATGCATAGGTATATTCTAAGGTCAACTTTATCGGCAACATGTCCACTGTAATAAAATTCATATATATAAAAAAAGGAAAAACAGAACAGGTTATACTGAGACAGACTATACTCAATCAGTGAAAATGTGAAATCTGGTATGTATGCACATTGATTCAAGTTTACACACCCCATAGGTACAGAGAGATGAAATTGTCAGGCCTGGCCCCCGAAGAGTAGAGGTATTAGTAGTATGAGTGGTGATAGAAAAGATTAAATATCAAGGATACGATTCGAGGTAATATAAATTAATGGAACAAAAGAGATATAGAAAATCCAAAAGTTGAGAATTTCGGGAACGACAAAGGATGAGTGCACTTGCAACATAGCAAACGATTTTGAGCCATATCATTCAAAGTCTCTAACCACTGGTTACGATAACTTCGCTGACCAAGACTATATCCAACTGCCTGACGGCAACACCTAAAGAAATGACCTTAAAAAGCATATCGTCACAAATCTTTTAAATACTAGTTCAGGATTGACCTACCCCAACATTCACGCTAAAATGTAAAATTACTAAATGTCATATTTCCTCCACTTATTTGAAATGGTGTAGTGGCAATCTCTAAACACTTCAGTTACTTATACTACTGAGCTGTCGTGACACTATGAGATCGGGGTAACTAAATTTTCTATATGCTGCAAGGTACCGAGTATCATTTGGTGTAAGTACCCCACAATCCCCTAATACGACCAAAAGGAGAGTCCGCTCTCCATCTCAAAATACTCTCATATAGTCACGTGTATAAAGCCACTGCCAAGAAATTTCTACTCATTGCGGTGGTGTTGTTTATGAAAGTGAGAGGACAAAAAGCGAATATCTGGAGCATAAACTGAGTTGGTGAGTACGGCGAATCCAACTAAAGAATTTCTCAAATCCTAATTGAAAGCCAGTGGTGTACACAGGCTCCAGAATCCTGAGGGATCGAATGGTGAGTGAACTTATTCTTGGCTACCGATTACCATAGGACCGCATCTGCCTCAGTTCCACCGCCTTGTGGATTAGACCTCCAGGTCAAGGGCTCCTAAAAATAGCCCCTAAGAAAACCACCTTTGGTTTTGGCACTCAGGGAGTATCCTATCCCACATAAATTGAATGATAACCACTTAGTGGAACACATATTTAGATGCCCCTTTGTACTAATGCTTATGCGTTTAAATAAAATACGACTGATGAAAGTAGAAGCTAGATCTTCCGAGGAAGACAAGTATTTAATTATGTAACTGTTAGTACGTTTCAAAACCATGACTAAGGTATTTTTCTTATTGAAAGAACGTTGTTCTTTAATACTTCTTACGATTCACGCAATCGTACTGACCTAATCACAAACCGAATACAGATTTACAGATCTAGATTTGAACCACACTAGTATGATGGTTAGCGATACAACCCAACTGCTCAAACCGAGGTATATGGATTGAGGGCCCGAACCATAGACTACCGGTTGGTGCCCGAGCGTTTGACTGCCAACCCACTGTTCCTATAACAGCTTGTTTTGTCAGTAACCACACAAACATTTCACCTCCATAAAGGCTATTTTGGAATTCTAGCTAAAGAATTAACACTCAAGAACACCCCTTTTCGACAAGCCTCCTGGAAACACTTGTCTTTTTAGCGCTGTTCATTTAGCGCTATTCAAAAACTACTTAACTTCTGCATTACACTGATTATACATTGTAATGTGCTGCTCGATTCATTGAGCACGATTGAAAAAGATAGTTCCTGAGAGTAATTCTACAGTAATGGGTGAATTCGGGAACTGAAAAACTTGTATACAGAATTTCAGTCCATAGGACCAATAAAAAAGTAAATCCGCACTATTGTGTCAGCATGTTTACAAAAATGAATCACCAACCCACCTTAAGAACATGCTAACGGCGTAAAATGAGAGGAAAATAAGATCAAGTGTCCCGAAAAGGGAATCATAGTTTTGACCATCTAACACAAGGAGTAAGACTCAAAGCTGTCAGTTTATGAACACATACCAAAAGGAGCCCAGTCACAAAATGTTTCATTTCCGGGAACTATAATTTTTCCCTCTTTGAGGGCTTCTTCAGAACAGTTTTGATGAAGTACTGACTTTACAATACTAATCGGTTTTCGGGATAAGTGATAGCACGTGTATATCACCAAAGTGAAGAAAAATATATGTACGCGACCACTAAAATTTATAGAATGGTGAGAAAGCGAATAATTACGTTTTCGAGTTAAGCGGTGGCAGGAATCTTTGGAGATACTGTACTCCTGGTGCCAAACTCACCATTTGAGGATGACAGATCGACAACAATCAGCACTTACACACGCGTAAGATAGAAACAATCCAATGGTTAAAGTGGAGTAACGTTTTGAAACTAGTGACAATGGCCTTAACAGGGATTTCCACGTACTTGGATCCAATATCCAATTGCTCCGCGATAAGCTTATGTAAATCGATCGGTTCCTCACTTCTTGTTGTTTTGGTACGTTTATAGGTCTTTGGTAGTAATCAGTGAGTGGCAATCTAACCACTCGACGTCACTGATTCTAGTCAATTTGATAGCTAGTTGTGGATTCGTACACCGTGTAATTCTAGTGGGTGTGTCTGTCTTAGAGCATCAGGGTTTCTTGAACATCGTGTGTGAAGTGTGTGAAGAAAAGGGGAAACGGGGTTGATAGTGAGTGAGATAGAAACAAGTTACTGATATGTGGTAATGATAATAGTAGATAAGTTATGAGGCATGCAACCGGTACAGGTAGTCAATGTGGGAGATGGCGATCCATGGGTAAGTATTTATTTGGTAAGTCTACCCTTAAGGGTATGCACTGAGGAGGCTGTGGTCATTTCTGTTGGAAGGACATCCCAAATGGGAAAGTCTATAATGAGAAAAAGTGAGAGCGTACCCGAGCTTTCTCTCTTTGATGTGCGATTTTCCGGTGGTTGGCTTCCTGAGCATGCTGATGGTGTTCTGGTGGATTGCGCTTGCCATGTCATGTCATTATCAGATCACTACTCAGTCTCATAGCTCAGCGAGAATAATCCCAAATGTCGTAGTCTGTCTTTGTAAGATTATTCTTTATATCATTTGGTTATCGGTCTTTGTACTTAGTTTGAGATATTTATGCCTCATCTGAAGAGTGGAGATGGAATACTGTAGACTTCGGAGTGATGCTTCAAGTACGTTTTTAAGTGTAGGAGCCAATTTTGGGGTGATTGCACCAAGTTATCTTTTGATAAAGTGAAGAGTTGAGTTTCCTTCAGCTGCATCCCCAATGTACTTTCAGCTGGTGAAAATGGCCCGAGATCATACAGATTTCAAAATGTACACGAAAATACATTGCGCGTGAGCAAAAATGGGAGAAGTCACTTCTCTACGGTGCAAAACTCATGTTTGGAATTCTATTCAACCATGGAATCAGAATACAAAGGGATTATCAGTTAGTACAAATACCATAGACGGATAAGAGTTACGCTAGAACCTCAGGATGAGGTGAAAAATTATAGTTATAGTATTTATTTACTTGTTTATTTTGTGTAGGCATTGTAGTTTCGATTATACTATACCGGATAATATAATGTTCGTGGGTTATAATACAGGTTTGTTGAGTAACTCGGTAGTAAACTGTTTCTAACTACCCTAAAGCCCTTAAACATCAGTTGAAGAGTGGGTAAATCGTAAGTTCAATAAATTGTAAGTTTCCGGTGGCACTGGTTCTTCACCACACGATTTCTGAGTCAGGTTATGTGATAAATGAGATTTGAGTTCAAAAGGCAACATTTGGTGAAGGTTGAAAATGGTGAACTTGGAAGACTTAATCGTTATGGCTTGTCTCGGTGATGCAGGTGTGGTGGCTCTTTTTAACTCATTCCTTTTCACATTTACGCTTGTTACCCCTCGTGGAGGAGCATTGGCCATTCATCAGCATTCTCCATCCAACTCTGACGTGGGCAGTCCTTTCCAATTGCTTCTAGTTCCTATTCATCCTATTTATGTCTGCATCCAATCCTCGGCGCAGTGTGTTCCCTAGTCTTCCTCTATCCTATTTCTCTTCAGGGTTCAAAGTTAGCCCTTGCTTCGTGATGCAGTTTGATGATGTGTGTTATATTCACCTCCAGTGTCTTTTCCTAATCTTCTCTTCATCTATATGCTGGTTTATTCTCTCTCACACTAGGTTGTTTCTGATGGAATCTGTCCAAAGGACATTGAGTATCTTGCGTAGACAATACTATATCAACACTTGTACACTTTTGATGATGCCGTTGCTTTGTCAGTCCTCACCTTTGCGTCTCCATCAGATCCCCCTTGTTCATCGATGATGCTTCCCAGGTACGTGAAAGGTTCCACATCTTCCGGTTTTTGCCGTCAAGCGTAATCGGGTTAATATTCGCCGTGTTGTATTTCGGAATCTTGCTTTTTCCTTTGTGTATGTTGGGGCCTATTGATGCAGTGGCTACTACTACACTATTTGTCTTCAGCTGCATTTGCTGATGTGTATGGGATAGGAAGGTTGGGTCATCTTCAAAGTTCAGATCTTCTGATTGATTCCGAGCTATCTATTTTATTACATGCTTCCCGTCAGATGTCAAAGTCTTCATAATCCAGTCAGTTAGAAGAAAGAGAAAAGGGGGAGTGGGCAGTCTTGTCAGACTATGATCCTCACTTGGGATGAGTCTCTTAAATGTCTTTCATGAACATCTTTGCACTGTATTCCGTCGTATGGGTTCCGAATGATGTTAAATACTTTCTCACGTACTACATAGAGGAGAAGTTTCCATATTATTCTCCTGTCTGCATTGTCAAATGCTTTCTCATAATCAGGGAAGTCGATGTATGGTGACGAGTTCCAGTCAATTGACTGTTCAACGATGATCCGTAGTGTCGCAATTTGGTCTACGCACTACCGATCCAGCCTGTTGATCTCGAAGTTGGGTGTCCACAGTGTCTTTCATCCGGATGAGCAACACTCTTGTAAAAACTTTTTCTGGTACTAACGGTAGTGTGATGCCTCTGTGGTCTTCACATTTTCTCGGATCTCTATTCTTCAGCATCTTGATGAGACCTCGTTTTTTCCAGATATTTCCAGACATTCCTTTTTAGCCACTTTTCCTCCCAAATCTTCCTGAATAGAATGTGGGGAATGCTTGCAGTTGTTTTCATGTCTGACTTAACTGCTTCAGCCGGTTTATTGTCAGGTCCTGCTGTTTCCCATTTTTGATTTGTTCGATTACCATCCTGGTTTCTTCGATCGTTGGTGGAGTTACATCTGCAGGAATTTCGTTTCACTTATATTAAACTATTTACATATTTCCTCCCTGAACAACACTGTAGCTCATTCCAATTTGCCGACTGAAAAATCAAATGGACTGAACGTTAGGGATTGAAAGAAATTTTCAATGAAAATTGTATTTTAGATGAAGCATTCATTCAATATGTCAACATAAAAGTGATGTGTGCAAGTGAATAAAACCATTTTGCACTCTACTACATAGGTACTAATTGCAGCCTTAGGCCAAAAATAGCTTTTGACGAGTGTTACTGTTAGAGATTTTGAATTGTCTTGTAGTGCAGTGTTTCGTTAATCGTTCACCTCGATAACTGTTATCATACAAATCCTAACGGTGCATAAAATCAGAAGGCAAAGAGAAGCGGCAGCTACAATTTTTTGTCAAATAACACACGCCAGAAAGCTATATGCACATGGGCTAATATCAGCGAGCGAAGCAAAAATGAGACGCATTGGAGATGGTGGATAAGCCAACTCACTTTAACTAAGCGTCAATCATTATTAATGGTCAGATAAAAATAAATGACAGACATGTGATTAATAGGATAAGAATAGTACACACATATGCGCACATATAACAAATAGTCAGGGTTAATAAGCGAAGAATTAACAAGGTCAAAACATGACTCAGTATAGGTAGGTGTGCAACAGCTCAGGATGGTTGGTTAAGAGTTGACCCCAAACAACCAAGCATATGCTTAAACAGTATTGTTCAAGTATTCATTCACTTCCTTACTTTTTGTAAGCGTTATATTCCCTATTATCTTATATTGAATGTTCAGAGCCTTTGTTTGTCTGAACAGATAATCCCACGCTCCACTGTGACTGCGCGAAGATCGAAATAAAGACCTATTCACTACTTCTCTGGTTTCTTCTATCAATACCACGAGGGTTACAATAAGGCACGAAAGTGGTTAGCCCATATCTTGAACACAAATTTAGCCTCATTTCTGTTATTAATTTTTGTTTACTTAATCGTAAAAGTAGACCTGATTATCCGTAAACTAAGTTGAGTATATAACTAGTTTATTCCGTATTATCTTAAGTTATTCGTGTTATAGTAACCATTTTTCGTGCTAACTTTATTCCTATATTTGTCACATACCCCATATCAGACTCAATAGAAACCCATAATCTGGAGGATTTGTCACCAGTGGAGATAGACACTGTTATGACTACGAAATTTGATCGTAGTGATCCTGAGTTGTGGTTTGCTCAACTAGAGCATTATTTCACGAGACACAATATCAAATCTGAAGGGATTCGCTATAGAGACTTGTGTTCTATCCTTCCTCGTTCAGTCGCCAAAGAAGTCCGTGACTTGATTTTAGATCCACCATCACCTGAACCATACACCATCTTAAGACGAGAGATAATGAACCGTTTATCACTATCAGATAGTCAAATAATCCAAAGACTTTTTCAAGGTGAAACACTAGGTGATCGGTCGCCGTCACAGTTTTTGCGTCACCTCCAAGTGTTAGTGGGTGAAGCAGTCCTAAAACAAGGATGGATACAAGCTCTAACATGCTACGTTCAACACTGTTTTGATGCACAGGATCCTGAAACCTCATTATCTCATTTAGCGCGTATAGCCGATAGAGTAGTGGAGAGAGGTCCTCCAACTGGACCAGGCACAATAAATCACACACAAAAAGTAGAATCAGCAAAAGACCCCGTCATAGAAGGACTCATTGCGAGTGTTAATAGTCTCACTGAGGCTGTCACCAGAATGCAAATGGGTCGTAGAAACAGGAGCAGGTCACCACAATGACCACGATCCAAGTCACAAAACAGGTCACAAATGTCCAGACAACCTGGGCAGTTTTGTTGGTACCACTGGAAGTTTGGTGTCAAATCAATCAAGTGCATGCAACCATGCGCCTGGCCTAAGCATAATTCTAAGACAGCGGGAAACGAGTAACCCCTCCTCAGGTCGTGACGACTGAGGAGGTGCGCCTAAACAGTCGCTTGTTTTATGTTAGAGACAGAAACTCTGGC